AACACAGCACTGTACCAGCTACTAGGAAGGAAATTAACTCTATCCCTGCCGAAACCAGGACAATATCCACCCCTTATTCTATACCATCTACATCATGCTCAAGTCTCATATTTTCCAGTACATTTTCATTAATCACCACCCCTTTTCCTGGGTTTAATATAATATATATATTAATATATATAATATATATATATACACACACACACACAGAGATATCATTCCCTTAGTCTATGGGCCATCCCTCTAAAATGTTCGTTGAGTTCATTTAGTCCATGATTTTGGACTCCATCTGTCATAATAATCTTCCAGGACAGGAAAGATGGAGATGGTATGTGGTGTTGGATTGTTTCATGTTGAAGTCAGTTCTGGTACCATCATCACTGTGCTTTGCTTGGTTTCATCGAAGTTATTCTTCATTAGTCTGGGTGATTCTTATTGTAATATCATTAGTATGGCACATAATATTATGTAGTACTTAACATGAACTCTATCCCTGCCGAAACGAGGACAGATGCCTATCACGTTCATTAGCTTATTACTTTCCCCTTGTATGTATACATTTCTGTTAACACTGATACAGCAGATTTTTTAGTACCTGACAAAGCTTTACCTAACATTTCTATACTATGAATGACAAAAGACAAGATTTTGAAATTATAACAAATAAAACATGAAAAGTAGAATGAGGTAAGAATTAAAAGAGAGTTTAAATAGTGACCTAAAGGTAGAACATCCTGGCCAGGGCAGGTTTGGTTTGTTTTTTTTCTCCAATTTGAAGATTAGCTTTCGATTAGCTTTGCTGTCACAAAGTACCCATGCTCTACCCCTTTGGATTTCTTTGCATATTCTAATAATAAAAATAGTTACTTAGTGTTTCCTTTCCAGAGGAGGCAGAAATAAAGAATCGGTTTTGTATGAGATAGGGAAAGTGGTATTCCCTCAGCTGACTTACGAGGAGCTCACACTACAATTGATTTATCCAATGTATAGTATAAGGCTACATAGTTAAGAATTAGGCCCATGGCCTCAGATTCTCGATTGACAAGATAGATGTCTTTATTTGTAAATTAAAATAACTTATTAGTTCTCCATTGTGTTTCTAGATTTCTTTTCTGTTTTGAGGCATAGTCATTTAGTCCTTGGCCCCGGTATATCTGCATTAAGTATGGATCCAGAAATGTGACTTTCCAGAGCACCAGGTCCAATGAAAAGCAGACTGAATGTGACAGTCTGAGTCTAACCTAGTGGCAGCAAAAATAGTCCATCTCCACTTGGCCATGCATTATGCAAACTCATGATAAACCACCTCGTCTGTAAGATTTTTAAAGGCTACTAAGAATGTTTAGTACTCTTCTTCCATTAATCCTTTTGTCATCTACATAGTATATGATGCCATATAATTTGCTTCATATGGATTAAGTTAAACATTGTATCTTAGGCAGATACAGTCTAATAAATGCTTCTCTTAAATGTTTGACTC